ATTTATTTATTCATGAGAGACAGAGAAAGAGGCAGAGACATAGGCAGAGGGAGGGGAGGCACCTCAACCGGGAACCCTTTGAGGGACTAGATCCCGGAACCCTGGGATCACACCCTGAGCCAAAGACAGACGATCAACCCCTGAGCCACCCAGGCATCCCTCCAGATGAATTTCAAATAAAGCTTAATAAAAGAAACCAAACAAAACAGCAAATACTGTGGAATTACGTATACACACACACACAGTTTCACCCAGCAGAATGGGACGGAATGGGTTGCATGCAGGGATAGGAAAAAGGGATTATTACAAAGGGGCAAAAGGAAACTTTGGGAGACTATAGATATACTTGCTACCTGGAATGTCTGGATATGTTCCTAATCTTAACTGTCATGATGGCTTCACAAGGTGTGTGTATATATATATATATGTATATATTTATATACACACACCTTGGGATCCCTGGGTGGCGCAGCGGTTTGGCGCCTGCCTTTGGCCCAGGGCGCGATCCTGGAGACCCGGGATCAAATCCCACGTCGGGCTCCCGATGCATGGAGCCTGCTTTCCCTCTGCCTGTGTCTCTGCCTCTCTGCCTCTCTCTCTCTGTGACTATCATAAATTTAAAAAAATTAAAAAAAATAAAAAAAAATATACACACACCTTGTGAAGGTATATATATACACACACACACACACACACACTTTGTGAAGGTATATACCTTGTGAAGGTATATATATATATACACACACACACACACTTTGTGAAGGTATATATACACACACACACACCCCTTGTGAAGGTGTGTATATATATATATGTATATCTTGTGAAGGTATATATACATATGTGTGTGTGTGTCAAAATTATTCAATTGCATGCTTTCAGTATGTGCAATTTATTGTATACCAATTACACATTGATACACCTATTAGAATGATCCAACAATAATCAATGTATTTATTAGATGAATAAGCACTCATTTTTCTATGTTTATTTTTTTTTCTTTCTATGTTTAAATCAGAAGACTAAAATGTTACCTTACCACAGAAGGAAATTAACATTTAGTGGATATCCACTATATGCAGGCATTATGTTAGCTACTTTACACAGGCTAACCTAATAAGTATCATTATCTTAAGGCTTTTAATTGAAAAAAGGGGTTATGGAGGGGGGAGAGGATAACAAAACTTTTGAAACTAGACAAGGCTTTATTTTATCTTTTAAAAACTCTAACTTCCAGTTCCTACAAATAAAATATATAGCAGTATCAATAAACACAGCAGATTTAAATCTAAGTCCTTCAGAGTCAAGTTCTATAAATTCAGCTGGAACATCTCACGTGTCCCATGGGAACACATGCCAGGAAAAAGATTTAGACTGGATGATTAAATTGTGTTTTCATATATTTGGATGCACTGAATTCTCTATAAATCCCCTAAATTAACGGCAATTTGTGTTAAGGGTTAAAAATATATGGGACCAATAAAAAAAAAATCCTGTATAACTAGCAATGCCCACTTTGCAAACTAGTTTACTCATAGTGTTTTTATGTAAAACTTGCACCTACTTCCTTAAAGGATTTGAAATGGCTCTTTCATCCTCAAAATATGGTACCTGATTGGTGGACCTCTAAGAGGCCTTATAGCTTTGGTCACTCTAATTTCTCCCACTCCTTTTCTTAGGAATTACATTAACCATATGTCAAACAAAATAACTGTAACCACCTAAAGATACAGAAAATTTTCTTCAATTAATATAGCAGAAACAAGTACAACATTTGTTTTGGGGTTTTGTTTCAAGTTTTAATTTAAATTCTAGTTAGTTAACACATACTATTAGTTTCTTGAGTAGAATTTAGTGATTTATCATTTATGTATAACACCCAGTGCTCAGCACAAATGCCCTCCTAATATCCATCACTTATTTAGCCCATTCCCCCAGCCACCTCCCCTCCCCACTCAGTTTGTTCTCCATTGTTAAGAGTCTCTTTTATGATTTGCCTCCCTTTCTTTTCTTTTCATTGTGCATCTGTTTTGTGCCTTAAATTCCACATGAGTGAAACCATATGGTATTGGTCTTTCTCTGATGGACTTATTTTGCTTGGAATACACACTAGCTCCATTCACGTTGCTGCAAGTGGCAAGACTTCATTCTTTTTATGGCTAATAGTCCACTGTGTATTATCTGTTTATCAGTCGATGAACTTTGGGGTCTTTCCATAACAAGAACATTTGGAGATCCATCTTTCATTCCATATTTTGACAAGGTTTCTAACTCTCAACACTACAGACATTCAGAGCTAGAATATTGTTGTGATGTATTATTCTGTGCAATGTAAGATACTTAGCAGCATTTCTGCAACCTACTAAATGCCAGTAGCCTCTCCCCTTATTTGTGACAACCAAAAGTGTCTCCAGACACTGCCAATTTGCCAGAGGGGCAAAATTGTCCCTAGCTGAGAACTACTGGTCTAAAACTACTAAAGTGTAAAGAGACCAACCAAAAAAACACTCGTTTCTTTTTTGGAGAGAGAGAGAAAGAGCGGGCATGTGCGAGCCAGCAGAGAGCGGCACAGGGACAATTCCAAGCAGGCTCCATACTCAGTGGAGCTCAACATGAGGCTTAATCCCATGACCATAAATTCATGACCTGAGCTATTATTAACAGTCAGATGCCTAACTGACTGAGTCACGCAAGCACCCCCCAAAAAACACTAACTATAAAGAACACACACGTTTACTGGGGAGGTGGGGGGAACAGGTGAAGAGAATTAAGAATACATTTACCTTGATGAGCACTGAGTAATATATGGAACTGGTGAATATATTGTACACCTGAAACTAGTATAACACTGTTAACTACAATGGAATTAAAATAAAATTGGGGCACCTAGGTGGCTCATTGGTTGAGTGTCTGCCTTTGGCTCAGGTCCTGATCCTCAGGTCCTAACATCCTGGCCTGCACTGAGCTCCCCACAGAGAGCCTCCTTCTCCCTGTACCTGTGTCTCTGCCTCTCGGTCTCTCATGCATAAATAAAATCTTTAATAAATTAAATTTTAAAAATAAATACTTAGCACGAAAGTGCTATAATCTCTCTGTATGGATCTCCTCCACTGACAGAGCAGGGAGTATGTAAGTACAATATTCTGTATTTGAAGCTTAAGGATATTTTAAGTGTTTGTACACAGTATATGTTCCATTTTTCAGAAGCCCATAAATTAATAAAAACAAAAGGGGTTTTTAAAAATTATTTTATTTTCAAAACAAGGAAGTTAGAACCTACAAAATATCTAACATGTGTCGCTCTTATTTTAGACCATGTCACCCAGATGGAAAAAACTTTTATGCCCAAGAAGTACGTATTAACCACCCCCTGACCACTGTATAACTAAACAATATGGGAGTTAATATAGGAAATGTCAATACTCTATAGGAACTCAACTTATAGCTCTGCCTTTACTAAACCTACAGTTTGTCCCAAGTAGGTGTTAAATCCATTAAGCCTCCAATTTTAAACTGCCATTATCTGTGAACATCTACATTCACACACTTTCTCTGTTGCACCCTATCTATCAACCAAACCTTTTCTTCAATGACTTAACTCTCAAGTAGAATGAAAATAATAAGATCACAATCTCAACTATACTTTAGATTTCTACTTTCTTGAAAACAGGATCTCTTTTTATATCACTAAAGCGGATTTAATTGCTTTCTTATTCCACAGGAATAAACACGACTTACTTGTGATAAAGATTTGCTGTCATAAATGTGGGAAGAGTAAAAAACAAACTGAAGACATGAAATCTGGGCTCCAGTTCTGGCTCTGAGTAGCTGGATGAGCCCCCAACATTCCCAAACTTCAGCTTTCTCATTTGTAAAATATGGAGTATAATAATATCTACTTCTACAGTTATTGTGAAGATTAATCATAATTCATGTGAAATCATTTTGTAAGCCGTACAAAATGTTGGTCTTATAGGTAGTATGAATAAAACAACAGAGAAACCCGCATATCAAATACAGGACTTACTTATATCACTAGTTAAATGTCACTTTTCAGAAAAACACTCATTAGAGAGTTTAAGATAATAAACTCTGAACTAGGATTCAGGCATCTATCTGGGTTCTAAACTTAGTTCTGCCAGTAACTCTGTATCAATACAGCAAAGTAACTTTCCTTTTCACCTCAAATTCCATCTAAAAAGATCGAAGTATTGGACCGGATGTCCCATAAATATTATATATTATTACAGCCCTGGTCAGCCTATGAAATGATTAGTATACAAAAGTTTCGTTTAACACTTATTACCACAACTCGGTACTGTTTGGCCGGCCAGCCAAAGAGAGATAGACGGCAACAGAGGGTAAGAAAAATTTAACTGAATAAAAATAGAACTGCATACAATTCTCGAAAAGCAAAGGAAACTATGAACTACTTTGTTTTCTGTAATAATAATCTTCCTTCTGACAGTAATGATGAACAAGGTACTTTAACAAAAGGGCGGGGTTCTTGCCCGAAGATTTTTGGAAACCAGCCACTTCCCCAAGAGGTGTAACTGCTTCCTCGCCCTCAGTAGCCAAGAAACTTTAAAGATTAAGGTTTATATTGTTTGGCTTGGAGGGTATGTCCCCCCCCCACCCCACCACCACCACCACCACTTGGACGGGGACGGCGGTAGTCACCTGACAAACATATTCTATAAACACCATTATCGACAACACCAAGCCTCCGGAAAGTCTAAAAAAAAATCTAAGTTTTTAGAGTAATGCTAGTATGTTAAAATGAGCTCGGACTCAACTCAAAATTAGATAACCCCGTGCTGGTGGTGATTCGGCTCTGCCAACCGCCAAGTTTTCCCTTCCCCAAATTATCCGCCCTCCCGCGTCTCTGCGGAGGCGACGCCTCGCCCTCTATTCCCGCACAGCGCCAGGGCGGGCGCGGAGTCCCCAGGGGCTCCCAGAGGAGGGAAGGCCTCTGGGCGCCACCACCCCTCGCTCCTCACCGATGACGATGCGCAGGTGCTTGAGACGGGTCAGCGCGTCCTTCTTGGTGTCCAGCACCTTCTGGGTAGACTTCTTCACGTCCCCGTGCGGCTTCTTGGAGAACATCCTGCCGCTGCCGCCGCCAACGGCCGACTCCGGCCCCCGCCCGGTCCGGCCCCGGCGGCGAAAAGTGGAGCGAGTGGGCGGGGAGGATTCTAGCGTCAGCAGCTCATTCACTCTCCAAGCCTGCGGGCCCCAGCGCAGCCGATTCCTCCCACATCCAGGCCAGGGCCGCCGCCTCCACCCGCCTCGCGCCGCGGCTGCAAGGCACCTTCGGTTCCGGCTCCAATATGGCGGATCCCCTCTCCCAGTCCCGCACCGAGCGAGGGAGACCCGGCAGGTCGGCCGCCGCCGTCTCCGCTGCCTGCTGAAGCCGCCGCTCGCAGCCACAGGCCGGGGCCCGGGACCCGGAGCCGCGGAGGTGGGGCTCTCGGCCGCAGCAGCACAACTCCTCTCCCTGAGGCCCCCTTAAGGTTAAAGCTTCTTTAGCAGCTTAGACACTGCCTACGCCGAAACGGAGACGTGTGCGGTGATGAGGTTTCACGACTCTGCCGTCGGTGGCGAATGGTCCCCGTGGCAACCGCCTTCTGACGCCAAGGCTTCTGACGTCATGCCAGCGTGAGATCATCCGCGGCATTACCCGTACCTTTCGTTTCCTGTGTGAGCTGCTAAAGGAGGAGCCGGAGGAAATCGGGGAAGGGAATTACCGCGCGCCATCGTAAGCGTTGTAAGGGACTCCTAGCCAAACTCCCAGAATGGTGTCGTATACGTTTTGTTTAAAAAAGGTCCTTCACCTCCACTGTTTACTATGTCATAGTAACTTAAAAAATAGTTCCAAAACATCAAAACAGACGTGCAATATATTTTAGATGCCAATTCCTTGAAGGCGTTGGATGTAACACCCCTTCATTTCCTAAGTTGAATTTTGTTTAAAGGATTTCTTTGGGTTTCGCAAAGTGATGATGGACGATTTATTGTAGAGATTTGTAGGATTGTAGTGCATCCTCTGGGTTAAAGTTATCTCGCAAACGAAAAAAAATAAAAGTATCTTGCACAAATAAATGAAGCCCAAAAGCCTGCAGTAACACAGTGCAAAATTACAAGAGACAAATCTGGAGGACTTTTAGGGTGAATTTTCTTAATATGTGGAGTTCACAAATCCAGGAGAAAATTGCTAAGGAGGACATAGAAACATTCATAGAACATATCACAGAAATGTATAATAACTAAAACGTGAAAATGTCGGCACCTGGGTGGCTCAGGCAGGTGAAGAGGTTAACTCTTGATTTCCACTCAGGTCATGATCTCATGGTCCCACTTTGGGCGCCCCAGTCAGCAAGGAGATGGCTTGGGTATTCTCTCCCTCTGCCACTTGCCCCATTCGTTCTCTCTCCCTCACTCTCTCTCCAAGTAAGTCTTTTTAAAAAACGTGAAAATGTTCACGAATTAGTAATTTTTAAAAATCAGATTAAAACATTTGTAAGCAATTTTTAAACAGCTTTATGGGACAGTTGATATACGACTAACTGCACCTTTTCAATGTGTAGAATTTGGTAAGTTCCATATTTGCATACACCCATGAAAACATCACCACAATCAAAATAGTGAACATATCTATCATCCCCAAAACTTTCCTCTTGCCCCTTGATGATTCCTTCCTTTCTAGCTGATCTCTGGTTCCCAGGTGACACTGATCTATTGTCACTGGGAGTTACCATCTTCTAGAGTTCCATATAGATGTAAACATTCAGAATACTTTTTTTTTGGGGGGGGGGTCTGGCTTCTTTCACCCAATAAAGTTTACTTTTTAACAATGAAATGTCTTATCAGTCAAGTTAGTGAAATTTGCTTTTAGATTTGACATCTTACTCCTGGTGAGTGTGACAGAGATGCTCCTATTGCTTGCTGGGAAGAAGCATTACTTTCTATAAGCTTACTGGAAATTAAAATTTGGCATTATGTATCAAGACACTTAAAAACATTTATATACTTTGCTTCATTAGTTCCACTTTTAGAATTCTATTCTAAAAAAAATCACAGGGCAGTTCAGGTGGCTCAGCGGTTTAGCGCTGCCTTCAGCTCAGGGTGTGATCCTGGAGACCCGGGATCGAGTCCCACGTCGGGCTCCCTGCATGGAGCCTGCTTCTCCCTCTGCCTGTGTCTCTGCCTCTCTCTCTCTCTCTCTCTCTCTCTCTCTCTCTCTCTCTCTGTGTGTGTGTCTCTCATGAATAAATAAATAAAATCTTTAAAAAAAAATAAAATCACAAATGGGTAAAATGGAAAAAAATATTAACACATGATTTACAACATTGAAAGATGGGAAGTTATATGAATGTCCATCAGAAAGATGAAAATTACTAATATGAAGTTTTTTTAATGACATGGAAAATATTCAAGACAATATTAAGTGAAAAAACAGATACAAAACTGAAAATATGTATGTTATCAAAACTCTGAAAAAATTGTGAATAAAACGTAATTAGAAAAATATGAAAAAATAATCCAAAATTGTGATAATATCTGCGAATCATTACATTACATTCATTACAGTTGATTTTAGTTTGTGTCCTTGTATTTTGCTTATATCTTCTTAAAAGCATATATTGATTTTGCAATTAAAAAATAAAAGTAGCTTTAAGGAAAATTAAGAAAATCTAATGTACCAATTATAAACTAACAAGACAAGGGATCCCTGGGTGGCGCAGCGGTTTGGTGCCTGCCTTTGGCCCAGGGCGCGATCCTGGAGACCCGGGATCGAATCCCACGTCGGGCTCCTGATGCATGGAGCCTGCTTCTCCCTCTGCCTGTGTCTCTGCCTCTCTCTCTCTCTGTATGACTATCGTAAATAAATTTAAAAAAAATTATAAACTAACAAGACAAATTAAGATGTATATGTAGGAATAAAAACTCCTTGAAAAGGGGGCTTTTTTCAGAAAGTTATCTTTATGTCCTACAATGGCACAGAATAAATATTTGTTGGTTTTTAAATTTTTATGTTTATATTATAAAATGTTTTCTTTTGATAGTTTGTTATCTGATCCCATGATTCTATTACTTATTTGGTTATTATAGTTATCTCTGTCCTTGCCTATAACCATATCTTTTCTGAGATATTAATCTCAAATTCAAACATACTCAAAACTATTCAAATTCAGTACATACAAAACTGAAACTTGTCAGCTTTGTCCTCCTTTCTCCCAAAACTGATCTTCCTGCTTCATCGATATCTTTATTGATATCTTTATTGATAATACCACTATCAACCCCGTTTTTCAATCCAAAAACTCATATCACCTTAAATCTTCTTCTCTTTTGCCTCTCTTGTCCAGTTACTAAGATCTGATGATTCTACTTCCTAGATATTTCTTGATTTGGTCCTGTTCTTTCCATTATCACAACCTTTGTTCAGGCTTAAGTTTTCACTATTTCTAGCTATGGGTGCTAGAAATGGCAGTGGTTTCCTCCCCACCTCCGTATCTTAGTAGGATTTGAGCATCCACTCAGTTTTAAGTAAATTTTAACAGTTAAACACACACACATACACACTCGGAAGTCTTATCTCATTGCCAATTTTTTTTTAAATATCTGTCTTAATATCAGGAAATGTATTGTACTTCAGGTCAAAGAATAAAATTCACAGAGGGACTTAACTTCAAAAAACCTGGAAACATGTCCAGATTTTATAACTTGAAGACTAGTCTCTTGCTCTTTTCAAACTTACTAAAGTTTAGAAAAATCATTTTTTAAAAAAGCAATTAGCTACCCTGATTATAGTGGATGAGGGTTGGTTTGCCTGCCTACTTTTGATAATCATACCCAGGTTTTCCTTTGGAAAGCCACCCCTCTCTTGGTCTCTTTGGATCTCGTGCCCCATAGCCCCATTTAGACTTCAGTACTCAAGCACACTAGGCAAAGCAAGTGTGTTAGGAACCAGCACAAGACTAAGTCAGTCCAATAAACTCACTCCTACAACTATTGAGAAAGAGAAACTCTCTCTTTTCAGGATGAAGGCCTGGAACTGCTAGGAACCAACATGTGAAAAGAATCTGCTGAGGATATCACCAATACTCCAAGAACAGAGGAAGGAGATAATCAGAAGAGACTGGGTTTTGGCATTGGATAAAAATCGTTTGGGCATTTGGATTAAATTTGCCTGAAATGCCGTGGTCTTTTCTATTTCACAGGCCAGTAGTTTGTGTTAGGTTTCAGTTACCTACAACAAGAAAAGTTTTGATTTATATATTTTATTTTTTTAAATTTTATTTCTTTGTGAGAGACACACACAGAGAGAGGCAGAGACATAGGCAGAGGGAGAAGCAGGCTCCATGCAGGGAGCTTGATATGGGACTTGATCCCTGGACTCCAGGATCATTCCCAGAGCTTAGGGCAGATGCTCAACCGCTGAGCCATCCAGTGGTCCCTGATTTATATATTTTAAAGATATTTGGTAGTCTGAATAGGGGTTAGAAATTTTTAAAGGAAAAAAAAAAAAAGAACTGCTTATAAACAACTTTGCAGCCCTCTTCTGAAACCTTCCCATGGCACTTACTTTTTTCTCTCTCAAGATACCATACCCCATGCTGTAATCATTCTATGCTTCTTCACCCCTATATTTGACTGTAATCTCTTCTTAAGATAGGTTTTGAGAAGACCTTGGATTGTGATCCATAATCCAAGGCTCCAGGAGTTTTCTCCCCTACCTGCTTCCCTCTCTGTCTTCCTGCCTCTCTCTCTCTCTCTCTCTCTCTCTCTCTCTCTCTCTCTCTGTCTGCCTTCTCCAATGGTACCTTGCATGTGGCAGGCACTCAATACATATTTATGGCAAGAATGAATCGATGCTGGGCACTCAGTAAGCATTTACTGAATTTATGCAAATAATAGAGTTGCTGTTTCTGCTGTCAATTCAGGAACAGTAACCTGTTTTGGATTTGGGGGTGGTCACCAGAGGAGCAAAGAAGACAGTAGGAGGACAAAGAAAGGAGAAACAATGCTTAACAGGGGCAGGCCAGAATGTAAGCAAAACTTTGCAGGTTTTGATTCATAGGAAATTAGTTCTATGGGTTTGTTGTTGTTGTTTTATAGTTTAAGGTGGAATTTTTAAAATCTTTTATATTGATCTATTTCTCTTTAAAAAAAGATTTTATTTATTTGAGAGAGAGAGAGAAAGAGGGAGAACAAGTGGGGGGAGGGGCAGAGGGAGAAGTAGACTCCCTGCTGAGCAAGGGGTGGAGGAATCGTGACTTGAGCCAAAGGCAGCCACTTAACTGCTTAACCGACTGAGCCACCCAGGTATCCTATGTTGATCTATTTCAACTATGGATGTAAAATTGCTATTAGGGTCTTAAAATATCAGAATATTGTATATGGTTAGAGATAAGAACAAAGATGCAAAGAATAAGAGAAAAGGAAAAGTAGGCTTTATTAAACATTTCCATGATTTATCCATGAAAATGAGCACAAATTGTGGTCACCAGAGACTCAGGCAGAAATATAAACTTGGAATTTACAATTGAACAATGAACAATTGTACAATGAACAATTTATTCTGTCCTTAATCTATTACTAAGAATATTTTCATGTGCTACTTATGTGTTGTCTTTTATATATTTTTTCCTATTTGCTATCTCATATTCCAATTTTTGGCTGCAAACAACTCGACATTAAAAAGACTTTTAAACAAAGCTATTTATGTTTTCTACAAAATTAATCCCAGGTTCCTTTTCTATTACTTGTGTTCTTTTTTTCTTTTTAAACCTCTTTCCCTTATTTGCACCCCATATAAACATGGATATGTTATGCATGTTTTTCCTCTGCAAAAAAAAATCAGAATGTCCTATTACATTGGGACCCCTGGGTGACTTAGTGGTTGAGCGT